TAGTGGAAGGTCTGTGCATTGTAGTCGGAAATTCAATCGCTAGAATAGTCTTGGATGTCATGTGTGTTCTCATAATTTGTAATCTCTAAGTCCCTGGCCAAAGCTGACTAAGTGATGATTAGAATAAATATAGAATGCCAGGAATTCGGATTGCACGAACACTGGCCCTTAGGGCGGTCCTCGGTGGAACTCAGTGACAGGTCACGATACAGCTGGTCCTCTAGTGAAGTCACGGTGATGTCTAGGTATTAAGGACTAATGGTGTACAACTATACCATAGATATTTCTACTCGATTATTGAGAACCACTTAGAGATTTCTAGGGTGAGGGAGTTAAGTGAACTCGTCAACTTACGAGCACCCACTTATGCATGCCGATATCACAATACTGTTTACTGATGAGACACAGTACACATACACTAAGTGCTAATCTCCTAATGGGAAAGGCCGATATCCTCATTGGTGGCGTAACCCTTCGACTAGGAACACGTCTAATAGTTATAATACTTAAGTAAATATCTCACGATCCTAAAAGATCAATTACAAGTACTTGTAATAACAGTAAGGACTACATCTATGTATGAACAAGGGACAAAAATATAGAATGCCAAGGTGTTTTATCATTAATACGAAAAAGGATTATTTATTACAAGAATAAATGGAAAGACCACAGTCACACGTTGGCTTGTTGGTCACCTACTCTAACAGTAGTTGCACACCCTTGATTTAAAAAAAATAATCCCTATATAGTTATCATTATATTATGTCAGATGCGAAATATTGATAAGATCAAGTTGTAGTTCAAGTAGTAAGTAGGCACAACTCTATTTAATGTCATAGGTTCTTGTTCTACTATCTACAAATATTAATTGTTCTTCATATTTAACTTTCATAATATTTAACTTTTATTTATTAAATTTCCATTTACACTACATTTTTTCTCAATATTTTTCTACTTTTTTTCAAAATTCTCCAAAAAAATCTTGTTAGATTTGATTTTCTTACATATTAGTATTATTTTATGTGTGTATTATTATTATAAAAAAAATCGGGGCTCTGCCCCCGAAGCCCCGTAAACTTTTACAATTTCGAACACTCTTGGCTAAATTCCTGGATTCGCCACTGGCAACAAGTCCTCTTTCCATGGCTTCGCCGTGTCCACACGTGCCTCCCAGCCCATCAAATCTGCTCCCCAGACAAACCTTTCAATCACCATGTCGTCCGCCCCCACCACTCCGTACAATCTGGACAGCTTCAACTTCCAGCCGATTAAAGAATCGATCGTCGTCGGGGAAATGACCAGGCGCTACATGACGGACATGATAACCTACGCCGACACAGGCGCGATGGTTGTCGGCGCCGTATATGATTTTGTGACCAAAGTAGTGTACATAGAAGTTTGTAGAATTTTGTTAAATGTGGAGATTTTGATATCTTGGTAAACTAAAATTTGGAACAAATGCCGAGATTTTTGATTTAATTTCTTGAAAAAAGTAAGTAGAGGAAGATGTTGGAGATCAATTTCGGAGGATTAATTAATATCAAGATCAATTTGTCGATCTTCACTTTTGTTAGCCACTTCCTCTTTCTTGTTAGTGTTGTTTTTTCATTAACAGTTACCATTTTATTCCACTTCTTTCTCTTCTTTCCCGTGGCAACGGCCGTCGTGGATTTCTTAATTTTGGTGATTTTGGGTAAATCTTTGTTGGGGTTGATGTGGACACCGGAATTTTTGGTGTTCTGATGGTTCTTGTTCTCATTTTTCGTTCAACCTAGCAATTTGCCGGTGATTAGTTACCATCAGTTGCCCAGAAGCCCCGGTAGTCATACTATCAAAACCTCTTCATCTTCACCTATATTTCTCTCCTTTTTTTCACTATAATTATGTGAAGGTGGTGCAAGGAATCTGAAGGGTGTTTCAGACATTTACACTCCAATCACGTTGTATCCCTACAAATCAACTCAAGAAAACATTGGATTCATTATTATTTTGCTATCATGTTCTTGTTAATCTCATAAACCAAAAGACATGATTAGTATTACTCATAATCATATAAATCCCAATATTAATTATCCCATCCCCACCTAAATTGAGTTAGCAAAATACATAAATAATTGAGGAATAAATACACACACATTTACACGCAGAAGAACACATCTAATGGCAAACAAAGGCACATTATTCTTATACTGGGATTGCTTTTAGTAAGTGGAAATTCTTGATTTCTTCCCTTTTCGCTTTAATTTCTACATGTTCATGTAATACAATTATTTTGAAGTGATTAAAACATTGAAAGTGAAAATAATACGGTAGAGGAAGAATAACATGAACTATATATATATATACATAATAAAGGCAAGCCAAAGTCTGGAACGAACAACATTAGTTCGAAAGCAACATTTTTTGTATTTTACCCCAAAATTAGTGTTAAATGACAAAATGAGATTTTCGACTCTATACAGTAAACCTTTGAGATATTCAAACGAACTACAATAACAATAATAATAATAATAAAAAAAATGCAACATGTGTATCAAAAAGATTTAACATAAATGTATTACAGTCAAAAACATGCGTTGGAGTTGTCATCGCCAGATTTTGCTTGGGTATAGCCATCCACAACTACAAGAAATCCTTGTCCATCTCTTCTTGCTCTAATTAATCGAATAGGGTGAGCGCTGTTTTTTTGTCAAGTGAAAAAGCCCCAATTTGTTTCTAAGTGATCAAATATAAGGACATAATAGACATTCGCCTTTCTCAGTTAGTGAAACTGACGGAAGCTACCCCTTGTAAACCACAAGGAAGTTATGAGTCAATATTAATACCACAAGGGGATTAAGTGTCAAATGGTGAAATCACATGGGGTTATCTGCTATTTGACCTGTAATATATATCATCAATGATGTATTCTATACTTTGTCATTTCCATATATCTTGATAAATTAATTTATTGATAGATTCATTTGAATATATATATATATATGTGTGTGTTTGTGTGTGTGATAATTTTTAGATAAATGTGCAATTGTTAAATAGGAAAGAACTTAAAAACATATTACAATGAAAATGTCTAATAAGCAATTGAGTATTACACATTATCAATTGAGTGCCAACTAAGTGATTTGAGAAAATGACATAAGTATTTGTCACATGTCATTTATTGAGGCTATAGGTCCTCTTCTTATATAATACTAGCATTTTTTCCCCCGCTCAATGCACAAGATAGCATTTCAGATGGTGAAAATAATGGTTTGTTTAATACATGACAATAAAAATTATATATAGATATCATATGTATATATGTAACAACATTAATATGTATATATATGTATATATATATATATATATATATATATATATATGTATATATATATATATATATATATATATATATATATATATATATATATGTGTATCTCACTTCTATCTATTGAGCGCCCTCTATCTGATTTGAGAAAAAGACATAAGTATGTCTCTCACATCTTTTTTTGAGGGTATAGGTCTTCTTTTTATATATAAATAGCATTTTTTTTTCCCCTCTATGCTACCGAATTTCTTTTTTTATTTTGTAAATATTGTTTTTTTTTATACATATATATATATATATATATATATATATATATATATATATATATATACATATATATATATATATATATATATATATATATATATATATATATATATATATATATATATATATATATATATATATATATATATATATATATATATATATATATATATATATATATAAACTTAATTGTCATAATATGAAATTGATCATTAAATATATGAAGCAAAGAAGAATTAGACAAAATAGCCTGGATAATATGAGATAAAAATCAAACAATTATAAAAATATAGTGTTGTGGATCAGGACTGTGCTAGTCGAGATTTAATCTGAAGTAATTAGAAAAATCTTACATTTTATATAAAATATCATTAGGGCTTCTTAAGTTGCCCTCGCGTTTCTTTCTTTTATATATATATATACATTTTATATATATATATATATATATATATATATATATATATATATATATATATATATATATAT